CCCCAAAACCCCAAAACCCCATGAATTAGTATAGAGTAAATTGTAAACAATTATTAGATATAAATATATATTTATATGATTATTAAATTGTTTCATTCAATCAAAGTATATGATGTATTTAAGTGGGAAGTTGCTATTAAGAACCTGATGACGATTGAGAGGATTAACTAACATGCATTAATTGCTATTATTACTAGTACTGTGAGATAGCATCATTTAAGTATTTACCCTAGTTACTTTATATTAAGGGATTCTGTTAATTTCTCTTAGAATTATTGCCTAATCCACTCACAGTCGTTCCGATGATTTGGCCATTATTTATAGCTTATCCCATACCTGCATTTATCATACTCTTTGTATTCATTATATTAGCTTAAGGTGAGACTAGATAGTTATGCAAAGAATTACTATCATTGCCAGATGCTATATTACTTGATTAAGATCTATTCTATTGCTATTGTTGAATTTATTACTATTAGGCTAAGAGTTATTACTATGCTACCTAGGTTTCATGAATGTATTCTTGGGCTATTTATTCAATGCTAAATGGCACTTAAAGGTCAAATGAAGCAGACGCCACTACTTTTACGCCTTATAAATGAGCATCGCCATCGTATTTAATAACTGGTACACACGATGAGTAATTACTCAGATCAAATTTTTCATGAATTTTTCCATTAGCAATGCAAAGTAGTAAATGCTTCTCTAGATTTACATACACTTACACATAAGCTGAATCCTTGACACCAACCTTGCAACCCACAATAACTTATTCGATATCTTCCTTTTTAACTTCAGCCTTTTTCTTAGTGATTTAAGGCGTATTTTTGTTAGGGGTTTTGTCTTACTTGCTCTTTGTTGCTACTGTACAGATAAGTCCTACTGTTAAGAAGCAAGTAAAACTTATATCGGCTTTGCCATCAAAGATGTTAGAATCAACTTGGAAAAAGTGTTTACCAAAAGTCCACTCTTATTCACCATGAATATATGCTGGGTTGTTGAAAATGAAACTATCATTTGCATTCATTCGATTGTTATGAGAGTGTAAATTAGTCTATGAATAGGTACTTATAAAAGAACTTTCCATATCAATCTATTAATCTCCATTTATTCCATTCACATTCAGCATGTTAAATCTGCTCACTGATTCCTCATTGATTGTTTAATTATTTATTTTTTGGTTGTCAAGGGTAGATACCTGAATAACATCAGACCAATCACCTATCTCCTAGATATCTTTTTGATTCTCTGGGGATGCTACTGCTGCTGCAACTCTAATTCTATAGTTAGTTCTGGGGTTCAAATCTGTAATTATGCATCTATGCGCTTTTCCCTGATATACTTGCCTAAATTGCTCAACTCCATTTACTTTAACTCCAATGCCATATTCTAGAATATATATGACAGTTACTGAACCAAAAGAAAACTATTGTTCCTTTTAATGCTCCCATTAAAGTTTGATAGAAGTCGAAGAGCATTCTGTCTTGGTAAATTGCCTCTTTTTAAGCAAGCTAGCCTAGTTTTGTTTGCTTTGAGCTTGAATTAGAGAAAGCTTTTCTTAAAAGGCCTCAACAGATTTATCAACATCAATATTAGTCCCTGTCCTGTAGCTTTTTGGAGTTGTTTCTTTTTCCCTCTTAGTTTTTGATTTCAAAGTCTTATCTGAATTTTATTGGGATTCAACTACCTGCTTACTAGAAATTTTACTTTGGTAGGTTTATCTTGACTATGATTTACTATCTTCCTGGGATCTATTGCCATTTTATTATGTGGAATTCATATTTGTTGATTACTGACCTAGGACAATTGTCTTTTTTTGTATATTCTATGTTTGGCTTAATACCTCAATTTAGTGAACCTTAGCTTTACTATTGTTATTGTTACTACTGTTACTATTATCTCCTACCTTAGAATCTCTTTGATTGATAATCTAAACTTCTATTTGGCTCTTATCAATGAGGCTATTTCCACTTCCTGGAAGATGAACTGGGATAGTTTTAGGTAATAATTATTCAGTCTCAATTGCAATAATTGGCTTTTAATTTGATGTGTTTTACACTATCAATGACTGTGTAATTTAATTACTTTACTATTGCTATTGTTGCTACTGTGATTTAGGAGATTGCTAGCTTTGTCGAGTTGGCTATTCTTGTTTGATAATTGAGGCAAATTATTGGTCTAAAAATGATGCGATCTGTTACATTTTTTATTCAACTACTTCTGTGTTGATCTAAAGTAAAGCAATCTACTATTCTTGATCTCTACTCTTAGACTGCTCTTTCCTCATATTGTAAGTTTACTCTAGTAATTTCTTAAAGTATTTAGTCTAGCTTAATACTGTCAATACTGGTAATTCCTTAGATTAAACCTTTTCTTCAAGAATCTCAAATATCTTAATTGGAAAGAATTCCTTTAACTTGAAATCCTCCATTTCGATTTTGTCCTAAACAAGTTAATTTAGTATTCTCTGCTTTTGTAAATGTAGATTTGAAATCGCCTCTTTTTCCTTGATTTCAAGTTGGTATTTTAACTGCTGAGTTTTGGCTCTGATTAAATGCTCAGTCTTATGAGCATCAGTTTCAGCTTTCGTCATTTAATATTTAATCTAGTTTATCATTTAGTCTGTTTTCCCTCTATCTACGTTTATCTTTTCTAAAGTCCCACGAAAACTATTTAATATTTCCTCAGTGGCATCCCTGAAAATTTTATACAATTCTGATAAATTACCTAAGATTTTTTATTGGATGTTTTTAAACATGACTATTGATGCATTTGTTGCACATTAGCTAGTTGCAAGTAAGGCAGTATTTCTCAAACTCAGCATTTGCGTGATCTCTGCAGATATAAGTGCTGTTGATGGATTTAATATCATCTTCCAGCAAGTATTGTTATGATTACAATTACGCTTATTTCTTGTCATTTGGAACTACCTGCAAATTTTAATTAGTAAAAAAAACAATATGGGTCTTACTTTGTGTTTCTAAAATGAACCTGACTAGTGAATTAATTAAGAACACTATTCGCAGAGGGCAGATCCTAGTGTTCCACATTCGTAGCAAACCAACTTAGCCTTATTTTTTTCGCATCTTTCGCAATTCAACTTATTGAAAGGCGAATCTTCTTCTCCTAATTCATTCGCGAGTAATTTCTCTTCAGCGTCGATATTGCTATTATTTTCCTTACCGCTAGATGAATTAACAACTTCTTTAATATAAGAATCCACGACTTAATTTATTGGCCACCTAAGCATTTCTTTGATAGGATGCATCTATGGACAATTAGGACACTCATAAAGCAATTCCTTGGGAGCCTAGCCTCCAGATTTCTGTGTTTGTAATTGCATAAGCTGCTATTTCATTTTAAGAGGCATTGTCAGTAGCTCTTTTGCTTTTCTCTTTATACAGGGTTTGCATATCATTCTTAAGCAGCAGGTCATAGGGACTGGCTAAACTGGTGAAGTATTCTAGCATTCAATGCATGAAAGATTAAACATCATATTAGTAGACTCAATTAAGTTGCTCTGACCAGGATTTGAGCAGTCAAATGTAGCTGTTAATGTTGAAGTCATTTATTTATATTACAAAAATTACTATATAATTTCTTTCAAATCTCTTTCATCTTATTTAAATTTGGAGTCATGGGGTTTTGGGGTTTTGGGGTTTTGGGG